GGAATTGTGAAGCCAAAGTTTCTTAATGAAACTTTGATTACATTTATTTATTTAGTGTGTGTGCTCGAGTGTGTTTGTATGCACATGTTCTTTCTTTCCAACATTCAAGCTGGAAGTCAGAGGACAACTTCTAGGAACCAGTTCTCTCCTTCCACGGTCAGTCCTGGGGATAGAACTCAGGTCATTTTGGTGGGCGGTGCCTTTATCTGGTGAGCCTTCTTGTCAGCCCAGAGTCAGGAAAAAATAAAATGGCTGAGATCAAACAGGGCTGGGGCTTGGGTTAGCTCCATCGTGTTAAAATTCTCTGTACCTGATCTCCTCCCCATGACAACAAAGGTGGGGGCAAGAACAGTGGAAGATTGTAAGCCTTGAATAAATGAAGCATTATCAGGGATGAGTAGGAAGCCACATCTTCAGTGATTTATGGAGGAAGAGAAAGGTCTGGAGGTAGTAGGAGGTGCAGGACATAGGTAAGAGTGCTGTAAGATACCTTCCTGTACTTCAAACATTGAAGGGAGGTAGTTTAACCAGATGATAAACTAGTTGTAGCAGGTACAGGAAGTTGAAGTGAACATTCCAGAAGAGGCTGAATTAAAGTGGAAATGGTTGTTAACAGATGCTGAAGCAGGAAGATGAGTGAAGTAATGGGATGCGGAATGTAGAGCAATAGAGGTGGAGCTCGGTATGGAAACATTAGTCAGGATATAGTAATGGATGACCTGGAGGTTGTGGGCTGTGATTGGGGTGAAAAGGATTGAAAGGTGCCATGGAATTATCTTCTGGTAATCTTAGCCAAAGGTAGGCAAACTAAGGTGAATATCTACAAAGTAAGATAAATAAGCTGTTCTCTCTTGCAAGTCTCATCATATGGAAGGTGTTGGAGTGTCATTGCTAACATTTCATTTAGGATTTGACAATTCATAGATTTAACATATGGTTTATAGATTATTGTTATAATTTTTAGATTTTTAAAAAATGATTATTTTTAAATTATGTGCATATGTGTTTCAGGAAGCCAGAGGTAGCAGATTCCCCAGGTGCTGGAGTTATAGGCAGTTGTAAACTGCTCAACTTGGTTGCTGGGAACTAAACCTGGATCCTTTGGAAGAGCAATATGTGTTCCTAACTGCTGAGTCTTCTTTCCAGCCCAAACATCTGGTCTTGTAACATCTGGTCATATTTTGGGGCATTGGTATCTTTCATTTCATTTTTATTCTATTTTTATTTTTGGTAGGTTCCTTCTTTCTTTTCTTTTTCTTTTTTCTTTTCTTTTCTTTTCTTTTTTTTTTTTTTGAGGCAAGGTCTCTACTACATCCATTAGCCCTGGCTAGCCTGAACTCACAATGTAGACCAGGCTGGCCTCGATCTCAGAGATCTGCCTGTCTTCTGTCTCCCGAGGGTTGGGATTAAAGGCATGCAGCACCATGCCTGGGCCATTTTTGGTGTTTTTAAAATTACATTTATTGTGTGTGTGTGTGTGTGCTGCAGCACATGTGTGGAGTCAGAGAACAACCTGTAGAAGTCAGTTCTCTTCTTCCACCGTGTGGTCCCTGGGGAGTGAATTTAGGTCACTAGGCTTAGTGACAAGTTTATTTGCTGAGCCATCTTGCCAGCTCTATTTTTGGTGTTTTCTTACAGTTCTTTCTTCCTTTCCTCTTCTCTCTCTCTCTCTCTCCTCTCTTTCTTTTTCGGTCTTTTTGAGACAGGGTCTCCCTGTAGGCCCAGCTGTCCTGGAACTCACTATGTAGACCAGGCTGGCCTTGAACTCACAGAGATCCACCTGCCTCTGCCTCCCGAGTGCTGGGATTAAAGGCGTGCACCACCACGCCCGGCTCTTCATTTATTTTTATGTGTATGAGTGTTTTGCCAACATGTATGCAAGTGCACCAGAAGAGGGCGTCGGATCCTCTGAATCTAGAGTTATAGCTGGCTGTTAGCCATGTGGTGCTGGGAACCAAACCTGGGTCCTCTGCGAGAGCAGCCAATGTTCTTAACCTCTGAGTCATCTTTCCAGCTCCTATTTTTGGTCTCAAGTAACCCAGGCTGGCCTTGAACTCGTATGACCTTGAACAACTGATCCTCTGGCCTCTACCTCCAAAGTGTTAGGATTACTGTTCCTGTTCCGCTATTCCTGTCTTACATGTTTATTTGAGCTACTTAGTTTTTTTCTTCTGTATTTTTAAACTGATTTTGCCTATGGATATGTATATCATTAATTTGAGACTATCTGGGTGAGGCCAAAAAAAAAAAAAAAAAAAGCCAGTGTTGTATATTTAAGTAATGGTTTAAATCATGGAGTCCTGTTTTGTCTTTTTACACCTTTAAATTTTATTACGTTTATTTATTTTATATGTGTGTGTAGGCTCTAGAGTCACGTTGAGAGTATGGTAGTCAGAGAATTTGTGGGAGTTGGTTCTCTCATTGCATCATATTCGTCCTGGGAACTGAATTTAGGTCATTGGGCTTGGTGGCAAGTGTCTTTTACCCGTTGAGCCATCTCAGTGGCTCCCAGTTTTATCCCTTTAACACAAATAGTTATTAAACATGTTAAGGGTTGGGTTCAATTCCCAATACTAATAAAGTAAAATGTCAAAGCAATTAGCAAAAATTACTTAAGAATGCTGTTTGGGGGCTGGAGCAATGGCTCAGTTGTTAAGAGCACTGGCTGTTCTTGCAGAGGACTTGAGTTCTATTCCCAGCACCCACATGGCAGCTAACAACTGTCCACTTCCAAGATTTGATGCCCTCTTTTGACCTTCATGGGCATTGCATAACAGGGGTACACTCATATACATGCAGGTTATACACTTATACACATAACAAAATAATAATAAAAAAAGAATGCTGTTTTACTCGGGCCCACACCTTTAATCCTAGCACTTGGGAGGCAGAGACAGGTGGATCTCTATGAGTTTGAGGCCAGTCTGGTCTATATAGCAAGTTCCAGGCCAGCTGAAGCATCAGAAAGACCCTGTCTCAAAAAAACTAAAAACCAAACAAACAAAAAACAGGGCTGGAGAGATGACTCGGTAGCTAAGAGCATTGGCTGCTCTTGCTGAGGACCTGGGTTCAATTCCTAGCACTCACATGGTGGCTAACAACTGTCTGTAACTCCAATTCCAGGGGAATTTGACACCCTCTTCTGACCTCCACTGGCATAGCCCGAGTGCAGGCAATACACTCATACACATAAAACGAAAAGTATTAAAAATATATAATTTTTTGGTCTTTTTTGAGACAAGGTCTCCCTGTAGCCCCAGCTGTCCTGGAACTCGCTATGTAGACCAGACTGGCCTTGAACTCACAGAGATCCACCTGCCTCTGCCTCCCGAGTGCTGGGATTAAAGGAGTGCGCCACCATGCCTGGCTAATAAAATAAAAATATTTTTAAAAAAGAATGCTTTTTGTGAGTGCACCCGTGTCGTGCAATGCACTGGAAGTCAGAAGAGGGCTTCAAGTTCCCCTGGAACTGGAGTTAAGGACTGTTTGTAGCTGCCATGTGGGCGCTGGGAATCGAACCCGGGTCATCTGCAAGAGCAGTCAGTGCTCTTGTCTCTGGCCTCTGTGGATACCTGCACAACAGTGCATGCACACATGCAAACCCGCCAATGAAAACACACACACAGATCAGACATAATTAAAAAGAAAAATAAATCTTAGAAAAATGCTATTTTAACGGGCGTGGTGGCAGGCAGATCTCTGTGAGTTCCTGGCCAGTCTGGTCTACATAGCAAATTCCAGGCCAGCTGGGGCTTCACGGTGACCCTGTCTCAAAAGGACCGAAAAAAGATATATGCTGTCTTGATAGGTATAGGGACCACTGCAAGAGGTTGGTTCAGGGGAAGGCAGCGCTTGCACTTAACTAACTCCCACATACATACATACATACACGTGAGAAAGATATTCTTTGTATTTGCATTTCTTGTCCTGCCTGTATGTAAATTTCCCCCACTCCTATTTTGGTATCATTCCATATGAAAATCTCAAAGGCTGTACAGAAAAGAGTATTAGGAGAGTTGGTGATGAACTGACCAAAAGTGGAACAAAGGAACTTTTAAACCGATTCTCTTAAAAAGAAAGCATGGCACTGAAAATACAGTTTCCCACTTTGAAGCTTGCTTTAATTCTGGGGAAATCTGCTCAAGTGCAAGTGTTTTATTGCTTGGACTGTGACCTTATAGGGCAAACAGACGGCAATAACCGCTGTTAGGGCATGGGACATCTTGACAAGCTTGTGTAAGCTATTTTCAATTGGTAATTTGGAGTGAAACCTCAGAATAAAAAGCCGTATCCAAAACTATTAAATGCTGAAAGAAAAAACGCACACACACAAAAAAGAACTAAAATAACGGAAAGAACTGTTGAGAATTAAATTCGGCCCCTGGAAGTCTTCGACATACCTAGTTATGGGAACCGGGACTGCGCAACTGGAGGTGGAAAATTCCCAAGTTTTCTTTACTAAAGTAAACCGCCTCCGTGAACTCCCGGCCGGACGTCCCACCCAAATCCCATTCACGCGTGCTGCCCTTCTCCCAGCCCGCGGACAAACAGCCTTCCAAGGCAGTTTCGCGCCATTTGACTTAAAGGAATGGAAGGTCAAATCTACCCCTGTACTCTGCAGATGTGCCACTGTCGCCCGAGGCCTGCAAAGCTAGCTCAGCTAGGCTGGCAAAGGACGCCAAGGGCAGAGCCAGAACTGAAGGGGGGAAAAAAGGTGATAGAATCAGGCGTTGACTAACAGCTTAGCCACCCCCGAAAACCCCAAAGGCGCAAAAAGCCCGACCCGGGAGGAAAACAAACGCCGCGCAGCGCGGGCCCAGAGCTGGCGGCGGGCGGAGCGACCGCAGCGGTTGCAAAGAGACGCGGAGGCCGGGGGCGGAGGGCGGGCTCGCTCCACCCGACTCCTGATTGGTCGGCTCCAGCGAGCCAAGTGACGTCATCCCGGGGAGAACGCCTGATTTGTGTGGTGGGCGCGGGCAGGCGGGGATGGAGTCCAGTGCGCAGGCGCAGCTGCTCGGTTCCTTTCGCCGCGGCTTTCCCGGCCCAGCTCTCGCGGACAAGTCTCGACATCGCGCGCCCCCCCCCCACCTTGGGGACCGCCCCCTCCTCGCTTTCGGCGGCGTCGAAGATAAACAATAGTTGGCCCGCGAGCAGCCAGTGTGTCTCCGGCCGCGGAATTCGGCGGGCTGCGTGGGAGCGACGGGATCCCGGGCAGCCGGCCATGGCGGGGTTGTACTCGCTGGGAGTGAGCGTCTTCTCCGACCAGGGCGGGAGGAAGTACATGGAGGACGTAACTCAGATCGTGGTGGAGCCCGAGCTGACTGCAGAAGAAAAGCCGGCGCCGCGGCTGGCACTCGCGCAGCCGGCGCCTCTACCGACGGCGCCGCCCGCTGCTCCCGGCGGCGGAGCGTCAGGAAAAGGCCCGGCGTCGGCTCCGGACGTTGCGGCCTCGCAGTCCGCCGGCCGCTGCTGTCGCCGCCGCTCCTCTGTGGCCTTCTTCGCTGTGTGCGATGGGCACGGAGGCCGGGAGGCGGCACAGTTTGCTCGGGAACACTTGTGGGGCTTCATCAAGAAGCAGAAGGGCTTCGCCTCGTCCGAGCCCGCCAAGGTGTGCGCTGCCATCCGCAAAGGTTTCCTCGCCTGTCACCTCGCCATGTGGAAGAAACTGGGTAAGTTGCCGGGCTCGGGTGGCGACCTCCCCCCTGCCCAAAAAAAACCCCCCGGGTGGTGAAAGTGCAGTGATGAGATTGAAGACTCTCAGGGTTGGAGGTCCGGCCACATCGAGTGGCCTCGGAAAAGATAGGATGGCTGTCTCCCAGCAACCGCTCCTGGCTTAATCTCCACCCTCCCGCGGGCAGGGGCACTGTCCCCTCCCTTCGCTGATTCTCTTTGGTGGTAGCCAACGAACAAGTGTTTGAAACCCGGCGCCAGATTCTAACCAAAAGATAAATTGGAAGAAGAGACGTTTCTACGTGGGCCAGGCGAAGGAAGCAGGAGATGGAAAGAATTGGAGCGTGTCCTTAGCATCTGTCATAATTTTGCTCCTGATTTACCCTCTTGGTTGCCTCCTACCGGTGGTGTCACTTCTCCAAATTGACCCCCGTGGCTCAGTGGAGGAAAGTGTGACTAAGAAGGGCTGAGATGTAATCACAGGCAACTTAGTCTTGGAAGGAATTTTGTTGTGATTATGTTTTAGTATCATCCCTTGAATTGTTTATGAAAAATAAAGGCTCGCAACTCTTTGACGCCTCTTAAACTGGCCCCATGTTAGGGATATGTATTAATGCACAGTTCTCAAAAGTTCATAGTGAAAAGCACTTATGTAAATACCTTTCCAAGTAGCAAAAGATAAAGGAAGGAAACACGTACTTTAATTTCTAAATATTCGATGTAATTGCAGTTTCACCCGACTTTGGAATGTCTTGTAAGGTAGACAATATTTATGTAACCTATTTCACAGGATTATGCTTGTTTATTTATTGCTCTGGGTAAATGATACATGTCTTTGTTACAGAAAAGTAATATTGCTCTGTCTCTAAAAACTCTTTATTTATGGTGGCATAATAAAGTTGCTTTATTTTCATTAAAGAGACAGACATAGAGAAAGCTGTTACAGATTTGTAAAATATAGAATATTTTTAGAAAGGTTTTGTCATACAGTTGTAGACTAGCTAGCTGGTTTCAAAGTCTGTTTTCCATCTGTTTGGCTTTTTGCCAAGAAGTATTTGATTGCCTCAAACACCAACCAGTAAGCCTTTTGGAGGCAGTTCTCATCCAATCCCTGGGGCCCCTGTTATGAATTTATTTTCTTTTCCTTTGGGCAGAGTACAGCTGAAAGCACCGTAGTATGTTCTAGAAAAACATCATTTAGTTGGCTGTAGAGGAATTAAAAGTGGGCATTGAGGCAGCAAGATAGAGGGAGATTAGACACAAAGAACCATTACAGAGTTCATTTATTTTGCAGTACTCCTGGGGAACATAAATTTGCCATATGTTTTAACTTTAAGAATCAAAAAAGGCTTTAAGATTGGAACTTTATAGTTGAGTGTGGTTGGAAAGCAGAGGCAAGAGGATCAGTGTAAGTTCCAGGCCAACCAGGTTTACATAGTAAGTTCTTGGTCAGCCAAGAACTACATAGCAAGACTGTCTCAAAAATAAAAAAGAAGAAAGAAAGGAAAAGTTAAAAAATTTGAACTTTAATACTTGAACTTTTCTCTTTTTTTTTTTCCCTAAAGTTTTCTCATTGCTGGGGATGAACCTCAGGACTTCTCACATGCTAAGTAGGCATAAGCTCTCCCTCTGAGCTACACCTGTAGCCCCTGAGCATTTTCTTTAAAAAAACAGAGACCATGCTGTTAAGTGTGAATGTGTTTTTTTTTTTATTTACATGTACATACTTAAGATTTATTTATTTATTTAGTGAGTGTACATGTGAGTGCAGGTGTCCTAGAAGGCCAGAGGTGTCAGATCCCCCTGGAGCTAAGTTACAGGTGGTTGTGAGCTATCTAACATGGGTTCTGGGAACAGAACTCAAGAACCTGTGTTCTCTGGAAGAGCAATATATTCTTAACTCTTGCGACATCTTTCCAGCCCTAAATGCACATACATTTGGAATCATACCTTCATTCTTAATGATGATGCATGGTTTTGTTAGAGCCTTGTATTCAGGCACATGGTAAAGTTTACTTTGTATCAGCTAAACCTTTGAACTCCATCCTCAAAACTTGAATTAAAAAGGATATTAAAAAAAACATTCTGAGGAAATGACAATCTTGACATAGGAAATGCAAGTGAAAAAACTTGTTTCAGTTCCTAGTTTTTGTTCAGTTCTTCATTTTCCATAAAATAAACTCTGAAGTCCATAATCTATAGACCAACTTCTTTCTAGTCCATATTCAGCCTGTCTCTGTAGTTTTGTTAGCCATGTTTTTATCAGCTTAGATCACTTACCTTTTTCCAGGCCTGTTTAAAATAGTTCATTTTCTTGGATTACTACCCCCTCAGCCAAAAATATATTGATTATATAGATTCCAAGATAATGTTTTCTTCTGTGGTACTGCAGTTTGTTTTGGAACTGAACATCCCTTTCTACTTTTGTGATGATTATTAGGCTATCAGCAGTTCTTAAATTTTTTGACTTCCAGACAGTTATTATAGTGTTAGAGTTTGAATCCAGAGTCTCACACGTGTTGAGCACTGGCTCCACCACTGAGCCACTACCCCACACTTCTGTACTCTTAAGTTATTAGGATCCCAAAGAACTTTGATTTAGTTCTATCAGTTAGTAAAATTCCAATTTATAAGCAATAATAAACTCACTACACATAAACATCATTTCCAAAATAAAAACAGTACAAAGAGCGGCATTGTTTTGTATTTTTGCGAGTATCAATATCTGGCTTCATGGAAGACACCTAAATTCTCATGTTTTTGCACTCAGTTTCTTGTGCTGTTTGGTTGAGGTCTATAAAGAAAAAGGAACGTGCCAAGTGGTGCACACCTGTAATCCCAGCGCCCGGGAGACAAACCCAGGCAGATCTCTTGAGTTCAAGGCCATCCTGGCCTATATTGTAAGTTGGAGGCCAGTGAGGGCTATGTAGTGAGACACTTATCTTAAAGAGAAAAGAACTTCATGCACAGATGTAGGAAAAAGGATTATTTTACTAGTATCTTCAGATCATTGATTATTCTGTGTAGTGGTCATTTCTTTTTTAAAAAGAATAATTTTATTTTATGTATATGAGTATATTGCCTGCATGTATGTAAGTGCACCTGTGTTGTGTACAGTGCCCATGAAAGTCAGAAGAGAGCATTGGATCCCCTGGAACTGGAGTTTTGGACAGTTGTTAGCTACCATGTTAGTACTGGGAATCAGACCTGGGTCCTCTGCAAGAGCAGCCAGTGATCTTAACCACGGTGCCATCTCTCCAACCCCCTGGTGGTAGTTTAAGGGTGGTTGACTTGGTATCGGAAACCTCACTATTGAAATTTAATGGTCTTACATTAAGATCCATAACCCTCTGCAAACCCAGGGTCTCGCATATGTTAGGCAAATCTTTCGCCACTCAGTTAACATCCCCAGCTCTCTCTCTCAGGGCTTTCATCAGTCTTTTACCCATATGTGATTTTTGACATGGTATATCAATCATTTAGAAAATAATGGCACACTGAGTTAATATCTACTGAATATTGATGCCTTTTAGTACATAATGCAGAACATAAATTTTCTACTGTCATTGATGCTAGCAGAAAAGACCAATTATTGAGAAGGCTGTAGTCCACTGTGGTAGATATGCATGTTCCCAATTTGAGTTTTTCAAGCAACAGTAGAATTGTATCATATATTATCTTGCTTTTCTTGAAGAAAGCAGCTCACAATTTTTTCTTTTTTTGAAGAAAATGTATACAAAATGACCAAGTCTTAATTACCTTGGTTTATTTTCCTCCTTGCTTTTTGAGCTAGGATCTTACCATGTAGCTCAGGCTGGCCTTGTTTTTTTTAATTCTTCTTCCTTAGACTTTGGAATACTAGGGTTACAGGCAACATGTGCCACTACCACTGGCCTCTTAGTCTTTTCTGTTTTGTTTTGTTTTCTTTCTTTCCTATTTATTTGTTTTTGAGCCATAGTCTTGTATAGCCCAGGGAGCCTTCAGACTTGGAGTGTACGAATTTCTGATCCTGTGCTACCATGCTTTTGTTGTTTTCCCAGTAAATAAGACAGCCTCACTATGTAACCCAGGCAGGCCGGTTTTGAACTTTGTGGGCTTGTGTGGCCAACACCCCCCAGGGATCTATCTCCCTGTTTCTGTCTCCCTAGGTCTGGGATTACAAACTCTTGCCCATACCCAGCTTTTTAATATGGGTTCTGCAGGTTCTTTACCAATTGAACTATCTTCAACCCCCTGGCCTTGAACTTTTGACCCTACTGCCTGAACCTCTTCAGTGCTGGGTTTACAGGCATGCCTCATCAAGCCTGGCTTTTTCTTTTAAAACTTTAAATGGGTAGCTGTGAAGAACACATAGCTGACAACTAGCTTGGTTTTGTGCTATCATCTTGTCTACCTCCAAGGTTCTAGAAGTTTTATCAGCATTCATTGCTTTTGCACCAGCAGTGCAGGTATCAACACAGCAAAAAGAGCAAAGGAACTTTAGAATTATGAGGAACCACTGTAAAGATTACACTGACCACTAAGAAACCAGTATTGTGTAGTATCTGCCTCTTAGCTGAATCTTGAGGTCCTTGGCTGACAGTACCCTTACTCATAACTAATCCTTCTAGGGTTCACCAGATCACACTGAGCAAACCAACTGCAGCAGTCAGTTGAGTTTAGATGACTTTCTGTCCAGTGTGAAAGGAAAGATGAAATAAATCCTATTTTTTACTTTTTTTTTTTTTTTTGAGACAGGGTTTTCCAGTAGCCCCCAGCTGGCCTAGAATGCCATATGTAGACCAGGCTGACTTCCACCTCACAGATCTGCTGCCTCTGTCTCCCAAGTGCTGGGATTAAAGGCATGTGCCACCATGCCTGGCTAAATTATATTTTTAAATAAATACTTTTTTTTTTTTTTGAGACAGGGTTTTCCAGTAGCCCCCAGCTGGCCTAGAATGCCATATGTAGACCAGGCTGACTTCCACCTCACAGATCTGCTGCCTCTGTCTCCCAAGTG